CCTAGATACAGACAAGTTATAATTAACCAAATGTGAATTACAGTATCCAACAAATAAAATGTAGTGTTTTATTCAATAAGCAATAATAAATAATAATAAGTCAGAGCAATAAAAGAGTCTGGACCGTTGCATTGTCATCCGGTTATTGCAATTCGTAGAAACCGTGTTTTAGTTTCGTTTGTATTTCACGGTCACGTCTAGAAATTGATAAGTGTTATGGCTATTTGTCTTAAATTACAAGTACTATACAAGGTGTTCATTTTATCTGTTCACACCTGATAATTTTTGCATACGCAATATATTATCGTACACCCTAGAGATGACTTCGTGCAATTTAATTTTTTTTTAATACGCAATTACAGAAAAAAAAAGACAAAGATGTCAATGCCAAAATTGAAAAAAATAATTCAATTTATTTTAAAATGCCCCGCTACAAAATTGCAATGCGAAAAAAAAAATCGACACAGACAGATAGACAGACGGAAACGGAAGATTACTTTTTTTGTACTTCAAGGGTGATGAAACGTCAAGGAAACATGAAATCGAGAAGTAAAAAGCCAAAAATGGCCAACAAAAGTAGCATTTACATGTACCTTAGTGAGCTCCTGACGGTGGCAATTTGATTTCCTAGCACAAAAACTTGGGATTGTTGTAACTAACACTATGCGTGATATTAAAAGTGCGAAAGGTTGAAGCTGGTGTATTATATAAAAACAGCGGTCTTAATAAAATAGTTAAATTAATGAGGTGTACGCTCACCGAATTACCTAGTTACATTAAGGGGGAAAAACCAGTCCATGAAATGGTATTTGATTCCTTGAGTTCAATTTTTTAAACATAATTTTTAGATCGGATGTTGTCAGTTACGATTGTCTAAAAAAAAGTTGGCGAACTCTTGCTTCAAATATTTTATCCACAACCTTCGTGATAATGTTAAAACTTTTTCCTAATTTAACGCACGTAGTTCACGGTTTCTAGCCTGAATAGCTTGTTTTGGTTATACCCCACAATCAATATTGTAACTTTTCCAAAAAGTTTTGCGGTGTTTTTATCATTCATAAAATAATAATTAAGAGGTACAGGCAAATGTAGTCACATAATAACAAATTACACATTTTAATGTACTGTATGTAACTGCGTATGTCACTGACCGGCAAATAAAAACCGCCCACCCTGAAATATTTCGGAAAACCACTTCAAAAATTATATTTTAACTAGTGATTGCATTTATTTGTCCCTTTTTGTATACCCTGTGCAAATAGTGAATGCTTCTTTACATAAAATTAAAATCACTAGTTAAATTAATAATTTCTAAAGCGATTTTTTTTTGCCGGCCAGTATATATTTACTTTTAGAAATGTACTTTAGCATTATAGTTAATTTTTGTCGTTAAAGTAACATTCGAATTTATTTTTACAATTTCGGATTTAAATTAACCGGGAGTGTGAAAACAAGCGTACATACCTTAGGATTGAAATATTATTTAATCCCTAGGGCGAAAATGCGAGCCTGTCATTTTACAAGCGTCAACTACCAGTAGACACTAACACAAATTTCTAATAAAAATAAATTGGGCTGTCACAATTTTTTAATTTTAAATAGTTTATTAAAGACACATTTTGCTGTTTTAACATAAAACATGATGTAAACTGCATTTTTTGTTTAAAATGTTGTGTCGTCCCTGTCAGAACATATTAATTTTTGTGTGAATGTAAATTTTTCGGTTCTCGTCTTTCGGGTGATCCACAATGATTTTGAATAGAGGAATGCAAAATTAGTACCTTACGTAATTTTTGCAAAGTTAATAACTTTATCATTCTTTTTTAACCTGACGCATATTTACATTTGACTATTTCCTTTAAAAAATTTCATAACGACCAATAAAAATAGAATTTCAGTTTTGCCCTAGTGCCAAATTATCAGATTTAACATCTAGTTGAATAATAAATAATTAGACAAATTTCAAATTTTTGTAAGGTACAAATATTACATGTACATTTAAAGAAACTTTTGCATTTTAACTCTCTGTCTAGTACACACGAAAACAACGACCCCTGCATTTTTTTTTAATCACACTGCATACCTTTTGCAACAGTGTTCCACAGAACCTTGATTACGCTTTTCTTATATTCTGTACCATCACATCGTCTGATATTGATGGCGAAATCTGTTAATGTCACGGCGAGTTCCGATGCAGTTGTATTTCTTTCAAAAATATACCCTCTTGCTACACAAAAACATTAAAATTGCTTCCATATAGATCCTTTGATTTTTTAAGGTTAAGTGGAGTTTATTTATTTACACATCTATTTTATAACATAACTTTAAACACGTCAATCTCTTTTAATTTTACCGGAATAGAACAATTTTTTTTTTTTCAGGAAATAGTCCGCAAAATATCCGCTCGTGCAAATCAAGTTGTTTCCTAATTTTCGACAATTTGGCAAGCACTCGGAGTATTATCATTGGCTATGTATTTTCGCACAAGGGCCGTAGTGTGATCCATAGTAACCACATTGTTAATGTAGGCATCTTTTTCAAATGGTTAATATCTTGATACTTTGATTTAAAAGGGCAAAATACAACAATTGTTTCGAGAAGCACAGCTCGCTTGGCGCTTTGTCAAAAAATTATTTTCAAGCGCCAGAATACCATATCAAATAATTTTATTAAGAGCACTTGTGAGTTTTCTTAATTTTCTTTTTTGTTGTTGGCAATAAAAATTGGGACTACTTATATCAACCAAAGTTTTTTTTCTATTCCTTATGCTATTTGCAGGGTCAGATTGCAAAGTTATTAAAATAAATTTCTAATACTCAAGTTGAAAGACCGTTCAAAGTTTGTAAAAGGAGCGTTAAGTGAAAAAAAAAATATATTTTTTTATTGGTTGCATTAAATCCAACAATCGGACCTAAAGATAAATAATAGTTAATAATGCTCTTACACTTTTTTAATACATTTTGAAGCTGAGATATTTAACGAGTTTTTATTAAAAGTTTCGCGTCTGTACGCATATTTTGGCATGTTAAAAAAGCAACATGGCCTGGCTTTCCATTTAATTATTCTAATGATTGGGAATAAATCATTCCAGATTAGCTTCATGTTATCACATCAGTGTTAAAACTCTGGAAAATGGAATACACACTTCGGGATTATGTCGCATTGGGGTTACTCCTTCAACAGCTAAATGGAAAATGTTCGTAAATTAATACTTCTTAATGTAGAAAATGAAAAAAAAAAAAAAAAACATAACAAATTGACCATTAACAGCAGCACAGAAATAATTAGAAAAAAAAACCACTTTTAATTATCTATTTAACTAACTATTTCCTATAACTACATATATACATTCAAAGAAAGAGTCTGTGATTAAAAACTTTCATCAATCTGCCAGACAAGATACAGAAGATTGATTTTCTGAAGTTATTTTCGATTTCAGATTTTGTTAGCATCGATTCAAGGCATTGTCATTGAGACGATGTCTTTTCTTTGTACAGTGTGTACGTTCCTATATTAAAGAAAGTAAAACTTTATACATATTTGCAATGCGTTAATTAGGTTAAGAGTGCCAAAGTAATGTTGTGCTGACAAGTTCAAATTTCTTTCAGCCACAAAAGTCTTGAAGTGTGTCAGCAACAACAAATCACAAATAAAACGAAGTGTTAGATATAACATTCGTAGATATGTTGTACCCTGTGTTGTCAAAGATTTAGGCGTACCCTCAGTGTTTCTTTACCTTCCATTTGCAATTCAATTGTGTTCAGAAGATTGCCTCAAATCCACTTATTTCTTTTAAAATTAGTCATTGAACATTGGCCATGTTTGTAAAATTCGTAACGAAGGTGAAATAATTAAGTATACGGTTTTAATTAGTTACTGGATTTGATCCATCATATGGCACAAATGCTATTGCACATAAACCTGCTTATTTTTATGATAATAAATTATTTGCCAACGGATATTTTACAAATATTTTTGAGATATTAGGTCGATTCTATTTTCATTTTGAAACTTTTGCTATTATTTTAGATGTAAAGTAACAATAATTATAATTGTGTTTTGTATTAGTAAGCGTTTGGCATCCACAATGAGCAATGGAAGTATATCTTCAGATACAGTGTTTATTCAGTAGTCGATGCTGCGACATGAATCCAACTGCATCTGAAGATTTAATAAGACAAAAAATATCTTTAAAGGAACTCTAATCTGTAACAACATGTAACTAAAAAATTTGAAAAAGGTGAGTCATAAAAACAATTAAAAAATATTCAACGTTAAATGTATAACGATGTCACAGATTGCTAATGTTAAATATTAAAGCGATACCATTAGTTTCGTTTCTACTGTTATTTCACCAATATATTATACAAAAGTATATCTTGTTTACCTGTAGTAAGATTGGCAATAGAAAGTCACAGATTTGCTGTTTCATTTATAAACATTTTTGATGTGATATAGCAAACTGGAGGTCATTTTGAGAATTCTTACATGAATGTATTCACAGTTTAGTTAAAATCCCATCTATGGTTTTTAAAGTAGCATGAAGTTCAGCCACCCTTATACTCGCAAATTCAAATTAAAATTTTTTATTATATAGTCTCTATCCCACCATGTGATACTTCAATTCAAATTTATTTTCTAAGCAAAATTGTAAAAATATGCAGTTCTCGGGTAATTTTTAAAACGGATGTCTTTTTTCTTACTTACTATGTAAAAATTATGAAGATTTAAGTTGGGACTTGATCTTTGGTGTAACTTCTGATTCTACGTAGTTATAATTTTAAAAATATCCTCACAAAAATAAAAGAATAAAAAAGGGACAAATTATTACCGCATTCCTGATCGATTAGCCCAAAATAACAAACGTTTTCTAATTTAACCTACCTACTTCCGAGGCAGTGTATATAATTACCCCGTATTTCTCGAGCACGATTTAGCTAAACCCTTCTTCCATCTGGATACGTAAATCTATATAACGAAAACACCTACGTCAAACTTACCAGCAGATCTTGGGGAAAGCATCGTAGGAGTTTTGGGTAGCTGAGTAGCGGTTGGAATTGGCGGTGCCGATGAAGGTAGTGGTGGTATAGAAATCTGGACATTGCTCACGACCCTTTGAAACGAACTGAATTCCTTCGGTTCGTATTTTTCCCCAACGTTTTCCAACCTCTTCAAATCCTCGTCGAAAACCGACCTCTTGGCCATCACAGACTTGACAATTTCCGAAGGCTGCACCTCCTTTAGATCTAAATCCAGCAATTTATGCCTCAACCTGAACTTCTCCCTCGTTGCATCCGACTTGGCGAGGGCATCGCCTCCGGCGGCACTTAGCGCCCTGGAGCCGGACCATTTCTCGTACTTTTCGACTAGCGACCGTATTCGCTCGTCCAGAGACGGACTGGGCGGTGTGATGTCGCTATCACTCGAGTTCGAGCTGAGACTGGGTGGGCGCGGAGGCGGCGATGCCGGCGGTGGGACGTGCACTGGACTAGGCGGCTTAAATAATAAAAATAAATAATTTATTATTTCATTCTTTAACATAATAACGGTGTCTATATTAAATTATTGTAGAGATTAAAACAGAACAACTAGTTGTGTCAATATTTCTGCTATTATCTTTGGACGATTTCTAAAAATGACTACTCTCCTTTTTGACACAAAAGATAAGAACATGGACAAACAGAATAACGATTGCACTTTTAGATATGACTGACTATTGACATGATTTGTTTTGTGTTTTATAGAAAATTTGATGTTTTTTTTTTAAATGTGATTACGCGAGTGGAACGCTCGAGAAGATGTGGGTGACGTTCGTGACGAGTGCGAATAATTTTTTAAATATTTAACGTTTTTGAATGTATTATTGGCATTTTGAAAAAAAAAAAGTCCCTGTGTAGAATAGGATGTTTTAATAGTACAAACATTTTTTAATACCACTAATACAACGTGGTGGTACATTTTCTGTTTTTTGAATACTAATAATAGAACTGTATCTTAAAATTACAGGTTTTAAAATTTTAGCAACTTCATATACATCACATTTAAGAAATACTCTTCTTTTTTCTTTTGCCAAGAACGTATCCAAAGTTTTACTGTGTCGTGAGGTCTATATCACTGCTATTTTTTTTCGTGATTAACTAGGCAAACGACTCTTAACATGTTTTAAAAACTTTTGAAAGAATTTTGTTGTGATGTATTATGAAAATTTTTTTTTTATCAGATTTTTTCTCAAATTTTTCTTTTCATTTTAATTCTTATATTTCAACCAACTCTGCTTTCGCTTTATGTCTTTATTCCAGGTTCTGCATTGGGAACAAATTTGTTCAATTGTTAAATAGAAATGATCAGTAAAGAAAATTGGGTTGAAAATATTTAGAATACGACTATATTGCTTTTATTAATGTAAAAAAATTGTTCAATAACTTCATAATTTCTACACAGCTCATCCATTTACTTTTATAGGCTAGTGTTTTTTCATGTTTTCACTTTTTTTCTTGCACTTCGGTATTTTTCATTTATTAATTATATAGCAGCCATTGTGATAAATTAATTTCGTTCTATGGACACCTAAGCCCACACAAAAATGCCGAACATTAATGTCACAAAGGAACGTAAACTAAACAAGAGCAAAAAAGAATTGTTTTCTATTAAAACACACCTTATATGGGCATAAATAGTTACCTGATCTGCCCTAATTAAAAGACCGTTATAATTTATTGATATTGTTTATATCTGATAAGTTATGGCACCAGCTTTTTTCATGTGGCTGTATTTTAATTAGTTTATTAGTGCCGCAAAATTTATAGAGGCATTTGCAAGACTCCATGGTACGGGTAAAGCAGTGACTAAAGCAGTACAGCTTATACGCTGATTCGGAAGTAGTCGAATATTAGCTCGTGTTTATGTACACTGCTCCGTTTACTGTTTTCACCAACTTCTGCCGTTTGAACGAATTTCCTGTCTACGCAAAATAGTCAGTAAGTTGACGACTAATTTTTTAGTAAATAACTGAATTTGACTAAATAAGGCAAGTTAAATATTCTTTTGTATGTATTAAATAAAATTATGCTTTTAATGACAAAGTAAGTTAAACTACACAACAGTGGACTCGAAAGTGTTACAGTAAGCTGTTATCCAGAACTTTTTACTTTTAAGCAGAATGTTACTATTTTTTCTTAAGCTGAAAGTATTTGTTGGTAGTCATAAAATATTCTATAGGTATACTATTACCAACTCCACTAACAAAGAAATCTTGCTAAATCTTTTTTATTAGTTTCTGTTCAAGTATGGTAAGAACACTTATGTGACAAGTGCATCAAAAAATAATCCATATCTTGCAAAAAATGTTTGAAAAAAATGTTTGTGAAGTACTTGTAAGCGCATACGCAGAACCAAAACACGGTACAGTTTATTAATCGTGACTCATGAGGGTGGGAACAGAAACATTTCTTCAGTTAGACAGATTAGTGTAACAGACAGACGTTAAGTTTTGTATAGGTTTGAAAATTGAGTTTTGAGTGATCCTGGTGAATTATTTATATATTAAAACACTGTTATTTCTATGTATTGTGATATGTTAGTGAATGACTGACAGATTCCAACTATCTGTCTTTTATACAAATTCTAAACATGTAATGTTTTCTCTGCATCAGAATTAGTATATTACATACCGAGGCGGGAAGTGTTTCATTACCGTCGAACGCCAGATTGTTGAACCAAGACGCGTAGCATCGAGATCAACAGGCGTGAGACGGGAATGAAACACGTCCACCGAGTGTATGTATACTATTTTATTCACAATCATTATAAATAAAAAAAAAAATAGAAATAAAAATTCACTTCACTTATTTTATAATAGCAGGCGTTCTATGTCAAAGTTGACATTATAACTTGTCAAGTTTTTTGTTAAATTATCACAGGTCTACAAAAAAAAAAAAACCGAAGTCATACACTTGTCGTCTTTTGGGCATAAATGACTTCCTTGTATCCTAAAACTTCTATAAAAATGATTTTTGCCGTTTCTACACGTCTAGTTTAATTTTTATTGGGATCCGAAATACCAAAAAACACGATTTTAACACTTTTCAAAAAAATACCTTGGAAAATAATAATTTGAGTTATATCTAAATAATATTGCAGTAATTTTTTATCTTCAAAAAATAATTTTAGTCCAGGTAAGGAAATTGTGGACACATGCTAATTTTTCATTGTTGGGTGGACCATTTCACTTTTAACTCATATGTGAACATCTTTTAATCTTACCAACAGCGACTTTTATAGTAAACAAAGCTATGCTACGAAAATATATTTATAACATTCCATATATGTATGTATAAGTGTTCAAACATGAAAACCAGATACATTTTAAAAGCAAATACGAAATCTTAAACTGATCGTGATATACATTTAATATATAGACCAACTGTAAACAAACGACACATTTTTATGGCTTATTTTTCGATCACATTAAGAGTATTTATGTATTTATTTATTCTTTAAAGAAATGTCTCCATTCTTATTCAACATATCCTTAAATTTGCTTTTTACCCCATGCCAACATTTCCACTAATAAACGAATAAACCCGTGTTGTACTTTAACCGCGTTTTGTAGATATCCGTTCCACTCTGCCGAATGTCTCGTACGCTATTAAACCCAAAGCTACTCTTAAAACTTCTTATTTGTTCCAAAGACAATTTGCAAAGTCCGCACCCTATACATTTTTTCAGTTATTTACCTTAGGATTCGAAATGCGGGGGCTCGTAACCGCCGGCGGGGGACTAGATAGGACGTTGTCTTTCTGGCCTTTGATTCCTGCCACCGAGACGCTGCCGCGGTTCAGGACCTGCGCCGCGAACCGCGGAAGCGGCAGAGTCAGGGGGCCCTCCCGCTCCCGCGGGATTCTGCGAGGCTCGCTGGGGGTGAAATGCTCAGGACGCTCGTCCACCAGTGGCGTGCCCGGCCTGGAACCGCCTACGCTCTCCGATCCGGAATGGTCGTAGTGGTGGGTCCTCGAGCCGCTGTCGCTGCCGGCGGTCTTGCGTCTTTTGCAGATAGGGTGTGGTAGGTAGGTATTACCTCGGTCGTGCGTCACATCTCGTGTGTGCTTGTTGTCGACAGACGGCCTCCTTGAATGATGCTTCACGTTGGGATCAGAGAGCCGCCTCACCTAGAAAAGATTTACAAAATTAGTCATATTAGGTAGAGTGGAAGAAGAGCAACAATGTAGACAAAGAGGATTGAAACTCGATGTAAATCTAACTTTCCATTTTATTGATGGAAATTTATTTCATATTTTTTTCAATCAGGTTATATCTATTTAGTTCTGATATATGTATAAAATGTAACACTGTGTTACCTATAGACAAACTAAATCAATTTATAAGTATTTAATTTTTTGAAGGATCCTGTGTCAGCAATTTCACCAACTCAAAGAACATTATTGAAGCGCAAACAATTTCAAGCCTCACGCTTTATATTTCAATAATTTATTCTTTTCAGATAATGTCATTAACTTTGTGGGCAATGACGTTAATAATATCAAAAATTTCAAAAAAGTAGGAAATATTAGTTCGAGATAAATGGATGAATCGTAAAATTTCACTGTCTAAATACTACAAAAAAAAAATTGTTAGTTCAATAGAACGTCTCTTGATACACATTTAATTAAACAAGTCTACCTTAAAATTCTGTGATTTTTTTATGATAGCACCTGTAAGTTAAAATCAAAATAAGGGTGGATTAGCTGTATGTAAAGGAGCATGCTATGTATAATTTTTTAGTACAGACAAACGTATCAATTTAGACGGTTATAATAAGAGTACTGTGTTTCCAGAATTTTATCCTAAAATTTATAATTTTTTTAAGACATCCTTTACCAACGAGGTCGGCTTTAAAAACCTTTGAAATGACAACATGAATTTTGTTGAAGGAATGAACAAAATGAACGAAAAAAGTTCACAATAACCTTAAATTGTGTGCAAAATTCCAAAGCAATCGATCTTTTTAGTTTCCAAGACAAATTGCAAAATTTTGCCGTCACAATTTTGAGTTGTTTGATTATACTTTTGGATTGAGAGAAAGTTCTGTCTGAATTAATTTGGGCCATTTTTTCTTTGAACAATTTTTATATTTTTTTCTAATATCCAGATGTTTAAAGTAAAAGCTAACTGGATTAATAAACTACATGTATGAAAGTATAATTACATACATTATAAAATTTAGGTATGATAAACCCAGCAAAATTTTTAAATGACGTCATCAAATTATTCATGGAGATCAACAAGGAAATTTTGATCAGTGTTCAAACACTACACGTATCGTAACACTTAAAGTACATCCAAAATTCAACAGCATTGGTTCAGTAGTGTCAGAGACTATGTGTCTAATTACATCTCTAACAGGCAGACCGACGAAAATGGGAAAGCGACATATGCGCATTGTACAAGTCACAAAACCTTAAAAAACATGAAATTCATTTCGACTATCAAATGGATCCTACTTTTATAATATACTTCTCTAGCTTACGCTCGAAAAATAATAGAATGCAATTTCACCAATTGAGACCTTCATTACAAGCTATGAAGAAAAAAGAACATTTGAACCTCTACTATGATCTGAGACCTACAAAAACCTCACCTCCATCACTTTCCGATGATCCCTATTTGCTTCTATGATCACATCACTAGTTGTCGAATTCTCCAGCAGGTCTAGCTTTAATCGTTTCTTCGGGCTGATCAGTTCGTCGCCTGAACTGGGGCACTCCTCCAGCTGTTCCAAGAGATGCACGCGTTCTTTCTGGAGATTTCGGATGTCTGGTTGAACGAACGACGTGTTCGTGTGATCGGCGACCACAGCCGGTGCAGTCCTAGTTTCTACAGGTTCGGTATGTGTAGGGCTGTTGTAAGGATATTCGTGTTCGTATCCGTCCTCGTGTGAAGCAGCGGAACCTTGACTGTATTCGTCGTAGTTGCGAAAGTGGCGTTCCGGTCCATATTCGCCCGTTTGATCGTAGTATTCGGCAAAACGGGCTATCCGGGAACGGGAGCCGCTTCCTCTAGGTGTTACGGAACCTGGTGTTCCGGGGGATGGTATAGCAGATGTGACTTGGCTTGCTGTCGCGCTTGACCTACTGCTGTAGGAGGATGTGCGAGGTCTTGTTGGGGTATCATATCTGCAACAAAGAATGATACGGTCAACATCTCACAAACTTGTTTGAAGCAGAAATCCTCAGTACTATGACATCTATGTATTGTCCTATAGGTTTTAGGTGTCGCTGCTGTCGTTTTACTCAACAAATTCAATTTGTGCAACAAGTGGTTGTAAAAAAATCCAGTCTTTCCTGAACTAAGTATCACTTATAAGATTATCCTGAACGGGAATGAATTCCATTTACTTCAATTTATGCAACTTGAAAAACAACAATTTCGATTACACGTGAATGAGTATATGCCTTTGTCGTTATAAGTTATGTGTAATTTAAAAGATTATCGAATCAGCAAACCACCATCACAACAACTTTTAATTCATAATAATCAAAATTTGTAAGAAATGCTACAAGAGACAGGTGTAAGCTTTTCTCTTCACACATGATGACAACGCATTACATGATAAACATACTTTTACCTCATATTTCACAAAATACTATTTGTAACTTTGTAAAATAGTCAATATACATGAATCATCTGGCATAAGTTTATTATTATTAATGAATATAAAATTGGTTGAATTTGTTTCCTGTTTGATGTTTCTCCGTTACATGTTGAATATCATCATTCAGTATTATAAAATTGAACATAAACAAATTCAAAACAAGACCTCGTCGTGGCGTTTTTACGAATCACGTTGTCTACACAACCATGAAACACTCACCATACATCAAAATCATATCTTGTGTTTTCGTTGTTTGAATACACTCTGTGTCATTTCTCATGAAATGTCAGCTTTAAGTAATATCCGTTCGCAAAACTCCCGCACTGTCAGTGTCAGATTTGGAAAAAATGACCTGAGTGTACTCAGTGGTGAGATGCGAAAAACCTGTACAATATGTTGCAAAATTGCAATCTAGTGACAAATTAGTGACTAAAATAACTTGTCAAATAAAAATGTCAAAAGCACATTAATTGAAGATTTTTATCAATTCAAGTAAAGAAAGAGTATGACACACGAACGACAACGAAAGCTTTTTTTGAATTATATATATTTTTGACCTTACTGTCCACTTCTACGCTTCTGGTGCTACAATTTGTTTGAATTACTGACAAGTTCTTTAAACACATTGAACACTTCAGCAACTCAAAAAGGTAAAATAGTTAATAAACATTTGATTTTTCATTCATTAATATTGAAAATTTGAAATTTAAGGCGGTAATCATATAAACTTAAAAATCTTTTAGGGGATTATTTCTCATACCAACAGAATGTCATTCTGACAGTGCGGGAGTTTTGCGAACGGATATTATGACAGTATCTGACACTGCGTCAACGTTGTTACACGAAACGATAACTAAGTTTTTTTTTTAATAGTTTGAAATTTCAAATATGGTTTTGAAATTGTATTTCTGCTTGTGTCTTGAATTATTTAGGCGTGGAGCTTCTCGTGAAAAACCCTGTAACCCTGTATATATTATTTAATTTCATAAAATCTCGATAAACTTAACTACGCCAAATGATGAGGGGACGTCATCAAATTGTTTATCGGGATTAGATAAATTCTGGTTCGCGTTTTACCATTGTGGAATAAAAATCGACACATACGACAGACGAAAACACACTCCAGGGGTCATGAAATGTCGAAAAAACATAAGAGTAGCCGTTCGTTAGATCGAGATCGAGAGAGTAATAAAAACACGATCAAATACAGTCATGGATTTTTAAAAGTTTGTCTGTGATCGTTGCAGTTTCAACTCAAACTTTCAAATTGACGGTGATCTGATAAGACGAAAATTCTATCAAAGATAGACTTTAAACGGAGAAATAGGAAACCTATTTATGTATGTTTTCGTAGTCTAGGGGTCATAAAGAGAAGAAAAAATGAAAGTAGCCATTCGTCCGATGGGGTCTATTACAATACTACCTACTCGGAAAGTAAAATCACATTCGCATAGACAAAATGATAACTTCAAACGATAGCAAAAAAAAAGGATAAAATTTGAGTAGTGATTCTAAAATTGCACAATGATTTCAACGTGGATATAATTAGTAATTTAAAATACTTATTAATCGCACAAGTTATATTCTCAGGCGGACAACAGAAATTTTATAACTGAATATTGAAAAGCATTTCTTTTTAATCGTTATTTATCTTAGTGCTGAAAATGAGCTATAGCATCACGAACGGGAACAGAATGCGAGACGCTGATCAAGCGCTGTGTGTATCCCCATTTTTGCAGAAGTGACTATACAACGTCTTTTGGGTTGCTTTTTATTAAATTTTAGTAATATTAACAATAATAAATCAAATGATTGTAACTAGAATGATGTCACGCTTGAGTTGGGGGACTATCTAGCACCTTTCTATAGAAATTTTTTGTTGTAAGAAAATAATTTTCGGCATTTCAAATTTTAATGGCAGAAGTTAGAAATGTTGCAACTTCATAATATGATTTCTAAATAACAATATATGTGGTCAATCAGCCTCAAGTGAACGTCAGTCTCACGCACGGTCAGACAAACCGTTTAGTCAATGAATCAGTTTATACAACGTGAAGAAAAAAATTCATGGCTCACTTTTGTCTAAAAACATCCTGAACGGTTTATACGTATATTTTTTGTTCTGTGAATCCCCGACGCGGCGGCGATATATTGAAACCTTAGTTTTATGTGTAAATAGCAATATAATATTAGGAGTTCACATTCGTGTTTATAATTTATGGAAAAGTATATACTGCTTCAAATAGATTAGGTTATTGCAAAACTGGAGTTCATAAGTCTCTGCTGTGTCGATTGTGTCACCAAAATTTTGTTTGCATTCATCACTGGGATTGTATTTTTTGTATGGAAGATATTTTTCAGATATTTTTGATTGTTATGATTTCATGTATTATAACTTACACAAACGTATTAATTGACAAACACTGTATTTTTAACAGTACGCTAACGTTTAAAAAAAAGTGACATATTTATATGGTAACGTGATCCTGAAACGAGGTGCAATATTTTTTCTTAAATTTTTGCCAGTGCTATTTAGCAGTATCAAAATTAGTTTGTACGAGTATATGATTTTTCAACATTTGAAAAAACCATAAAAATGTAGTAAAAAATAAAATGGTCCTGACAAGAATTCATGTGTAGTCTCCTGGCAAATAAAAGTGGCAGACCTAACTTTTAAGACCGTAGTAGGATTACTACAAAAGTTGATTATCCTATTTATGAATAAACCACTGCACAGGAGCGAGATGATGAGTCAAGCGAAGCGGCATTGAAATTAGGGCCACATCAAGCAGAAAACAAAACAATAGAAGGATAATAAACATTATTTGACAGAAGTTCATACTTCTATTATAAATCCTATTGCGACCTCAAAAGTTAGGTCTGCCACTTCTATTTGCCAGGACTATAACAAGTGCTCCATGAAGGGTTAATCATGTGAACTACCACTGCTTTGTAGTTGCAAAAATATTTGTAAGAATTTTTTCAATGAGAATATTCCGCATGTTCTCTGCATATTCTGCACAAGTTTGATGCATTAACGTTTTTCAAAACACATCCAACAGAGTAGATCACCATCACCTCCTTTTCTAAATTTTGAACGTTGACAATATTTGTAGACGTGTAAGTGAAAAAGTTTATTGGAAATTATAATCTTTGCTATTAAGTGTATAAGGGTTTCAAAACCTTGACCATATAGTTAGTATACAATTATACAATTTATACAATTTATACAAATTATACCATCCTATATGTATATACAGTAGTGGTCATTTCTACGGAACCACTCGATAAAAAGTCAAGTTGGTAGCCCTGTCATCTAGTACTTTACGCCGAACGCGGTTGGTAGCGGTAGTTGATATGGCAATCGAAACTAGCACAACACGAATGTTTCGGTTGTCCTCAGCTATGCCGCACTGTATCCCGTGCAGACTGTATGTTCTGTTCATCTATTTATTAAAATAAAATATCTACATTGACAATGGGGCCGTCTAACCTGTCAAATTTTTGACACATATGTTTTCCCCCAGAAACCCGTCAAGGTCACTTACACCAAACAAATTTTGAAAATTTACACTAGGGAGTGGTTCTGTAGAAAAGATCGCGACTTTAGATAGGTAATTTTTCCAATAAAAATTTCAACCAAATAATTGTTGGTAGCAGCTAAATACCTGTATTTAGTGTTTTTCCTGAACTAATGTTGTTGTCGAAGTCTGATCGCAACACAATAAGCAATTCGGCAATTAATTACGAATTATAACATAAAAAAAAAGTATTTCCATCGAACATTTTTAATGCGGCAATATAAGCAATTTTAATTAATGACAAATCACGCTTTTTGTTTCTCCCACGGGACTAGTTTTGGTTTTTTTGTCAGTACTATTTTTTTTTTTAAATTCTGTTTCACTTTACCATTACTGTGTGTAACTAGACGTGACGAAAATTTTTCATGGTCATTTCTATTCTTTTCTAACAGTATTTAAAAATCCAACGGTTTCTACTTGAAAAAAAAATTTTAAACAATGTCACCTTGTATCACATAACCTAGTAATTATTCTTCATCACAACATTTGGTTTATCAATTGACACTCCCATTATACTCGCTAATCTATTAGCGATCCACTGTTTTTGTTTTATTTTTCAGAATATACATATATACATACACAAAGTATTCAAGTTTAGCAGCAATATTAATATAAAGTCATAATAAGTAGCAGCAAATGTTCTCAAATACTTCTTAACCTTACTTAAACAGTTTAATTTACATTACGTTTTTCTCACTCCAGCACAACCATCAGGTACCTATTAATAGCCGGGTCTTATCTGAAAATTCATAAATGCAAGCCACACAAGGCTTGTCCATGATTGCACAAGAAAGAAACTTCACCACTGCGAAAATACATTATTTGTTTTTAGCAAACGGTTGATGGATTTGCTTTGTTCGAATAATTTGTATGGTTTATTTTATCAAAGAAAGCTTTAATCAACCAATGACTGAAATTGTGGTTAATACCCAACTTGGAAATGGTCTATGAGGCTTGCAGTGTTAGTTAGCTGGCTTCAACTGTTCTCAGTAAGTGTAACATTTTCTTGAAAAACCTATTTTCATAATTTTAGAATCAAAGTTGCTTATAATGAATAATTTATTCATAGACTTTGGCGAATAGAGTTCTATCTTGTATTCGTTTTTACCTGTAAATTTTTAAGAATTTTTAATGTTTTTCTGTAAGATCAATATTCTGTATTATTTATGCGTTGCCATAATAACAAATGGCTTGTTGTTTTCGCTTTTAAATATACTTAAAAATACATTACAATTACATCACAAATACAAAAGGCTAAAAAAAAATTAGACGTTAAGAAGCAATGAGATTATTTTAATCTGAAATACCTTAACATAACTCCGCACTGCAAAACATTCATTTAGCATCATTTTCTTGTTTATTTTCTAAAACAACATCATCCTGTAAATGATTATAATTACGATGTTCCACATATCCTTGACGTAACTTGTAATTACATGTTATTAAACACGTTTCATATCCCGTTGCCGGTGGAAATAAAAAAAAAAAAAATGTCGTATAGAAACAAACACATCTTCTGATCTTTAGACGAAGATTTTAGACTCTAATATGTTCTACAACATACAATTCATGGTTTCAAACGTACTAGAATAAAATAATTCTCTAGAAAACAGTTTTTATTTATTGATTTATAAAAGTATTTGAAAGTTTGATACACTCTAAAACAAAACCAAAGTTCAAAATAACACGAGTATTTTTTCTACTGTCATATGACAAACCGCATTCACTAGTGATAAACATGCCAATTTATTTGCCGCAGATCCTTTGTATTATCTAATGGCAAAATAAACATTATTGATACACAATATGATAATCAAGTTGACATTGGTAATCTAAATATAAAATGAATTTTTTAATTTGGCCAGTTATTGAACAGCACTTCAGTACTTTCCCTTCCTGAATAATGTAACAATAAATCCTTGCGTTTTTATGAAACCAGCATGGTAGTGATTGCAAACATTGTTTTATGGGTAAAAAGACATCGAACAATATTACTGTTATCGTGAAAACTATATTACGAGTATTTGTGCAAATATGATTTTTTAATTTTGGTAAACTAATTGATAATTGTTCAAATTAAAAAGCAATAAAACAGGAACCACCTTAATATCTACGGTCAAACTCCGGACAAATAAGTTAAAATAAAAGTATTTTGTATTGTTTTAACCTTGTATAAATGTGACATTGTCAGCTCCTTTTTAACGAGTTCTATAAAATTCCTAAACAAAAGTACATACTAGCGTCAACGTATGTTAAGAGTCAAGATTACAGTCTAAGAGTTAGCGACCGATTTACACTATATATTTCAGTGCTCATAAAGTCAGTGCATAAAATCTTTTGTACTTACAGAATAAGGTATGTCCATTCTGGCAACCGGGCGGAATAAGCAACCCCAAATTTACAAGGATTTTTTCGCCTCTGGTGGAGGTTTGGTGATGGAATTTTGTTCGACATTTAGACGTATCCTCATCAGACCACTTTACTTTGAACTATATTTATTTCACATCGTTGGAATAACACAAATATCAAAAAAATATACAACTTTTTATTACAAGTCAGTAACGATTTGGAGGAGTGGAAGTGTTTTGGCACCATTTTTCCTCACACTTTTTTTGCCTCCTTTGGGAATTAGGAGTTGCCTTTTCCGGCCGGTATCAGTTGCCAGAATGGGAATCCTTATTTAGTAGGTATGCAAGACTTCGTCCACAACAATTATTAATTAGCTCCCCATTTATGTCTACGCTATTTGATGCAATGCGTACAAATGAAACTGTTTTCTAGGTTCTAATCGAATTATGTCACTAACATATTACTCATATTTTTAAATAACATAAAGGATGTTTTATCTCCAAAAAGGGTAAATTATTTCAGAATGACACAGTTATTGTGAATTTACAAGAAGGTGTAGATGAAAACATGTTAAATTTTCTTTCAGTTTAATGCGAAATGATTAGTGACAAAACAACGTCATTTGCATCAAGATTTTCAGGAGATTCATATATTATATATCATATATAAACAGACGTGTGTTTAGCGGTTTAACCACATCTTAATGTGGTAAAAATTTAGGTTAACACCATAAGATCTCTTATATGTATATCAAGCAAATATTCAAAATTCCATTTTATATCTGTCACTTGTGTTATTCTGTTTTGGTACTTCGCTTCAAAATTTTGACAAATCGGGTGTGGGTTATTGCTACGAATCTACTTTGTCGCAAAGTTTTGTCTGCGACTTTATTCAAAAAGTTCAATCGTATTTATTAAGTGTTTTTATTTCGGCAGGAACACATTGAAGGGCCAATTTCAAGTTGATTTACCGCTAAATACGAACGAAATAAAAATATTAGTACAAACATGTGTTCTGTTGTTTAAAAAAAAAGCATATTAAAAAAACTATGTATACCATGAAAATGATATGGTAGAAGATGATTTATAAATTCATGATTTCTGGAAATGTCACTGCAGCAGGAATTTGAATAAAAGCAATGCAATACTATAGGATACGTTCAAAATACTTAAATGTGATAGCTGAAAAATCGTCTCATTGAACACTGCGACCATCAAACACATCGATCGAGTACACGTTCCACGACTATTTCTAAATAACTAAAATTTCATTCAAATTGAGTCGCAATAATTGAATAATCTTTTCATGTCCTTTCAGCCATATGTGACGATATTCCATAAGGTGTGGGGCGTAAACTCACAATTAGGCTACCACGTAATCTTTCTAGTATATTAAAAAAAATAAATAAATAAATAAAAATGAAGCTAATTGTAGGGTCAATTTGAGTGCAAATCGAAAATTTTGTACAGAGAAAAATATAAAATTTCGGCAACAGATTAAAAATGTTATTACCTGCTGAAAATATTTCATCGAAAAGTTGTTGCTAACACTTCTAAATAACAAAAAACGTTGGATTAACTATAAAACCGTAAATCGAAAAAGTCTACAAAGAAGGAAAAAACTTTCTTTCCCAAAATCAAAATTGACTTACCACTTTTACTAGTACAATATAATTAAGATATACAATTTTAAAATTAACCACTTGTTTTTAAAAGCTTACATTAGCTACACTTGTAACAAACTATGTAAACAAATGTAGAAGTCGATTTTAACCTACTTCTAATTATTGTATCGATTTGAAACTTTGCAACAATACAATAACTGGTACTATCGAGCAGTCGGGGTCCACTTTACTTTCTAAATTTTGCCATGTGTCACTAAATTTGAGTGCAATCATACTCTTGACAATTGTGATAAAAGTCGTGTGTGACATTCAAAGTTAGAAGCGTATTTTTTAAAGTATGGATAGTCAGAAATCAAAATATTACCTTCCAAGATTGAAACACAATGATTATGACGACAAGAAGTAAACAGCTGCTATGCTTTCCACCACATTTAACTGACAAAATAATATTTTTTTAATGTTCGTATCGTTTCGTATCTGATGTACTTGCATTCATTATTTATGTTTTTTCGTGTCCTACTTTTTGTTATATTGCCTGAATAAAGCAAGTCTTCTTTTTTCTGACGTCAACAGCACGAATACATTAAATTTATTTGCATATTTAAAATGTATTTATTACAACTTTTTTGGTGGCAAAACTTGAACTGTTACATTCAAATTCCGTGTTATTTAACTGTAATGTATGGTCCAGTATGAAGTTTTGGATGTACGTTTTGACGGCCATGGAACTACAAGCTTTTACAGATAGACCAACATTATGTAACTTGGTACACGTGATCTTCATTTAATTTTGTTGTTGTTTAAGGTTAAATATGTTAATCTTTTGCAAAACTACCAAATAATTCTTATTTTTACACAAAAAATTATTTTATTCATATAATGAAAGACTCCACTGAAAAAATAATTATATTTCATGTCTTTTAAATATTTATTTCTTGCTTGTTTGTCTTTGTAAAAAACATTTGCAGCAATTCTTGAGGAACCTAGTATTTAACAATCAAACACGGTTCAACCGTAAGTATTAGTTTTAAGTATATCGAATTTTTTAATTTGACCGAAGTCCGTATGTACCTGGAAAATCTGTTGGTGGTAGCATCGAAGGTTCTAGAGACTGAATCCCTCCTCTCCTCAAACCCTGTTCTATCGAGTACGGTTCCTTGTTTCTCTAAATGTTCGAAGAACGATTCCTGGCACTCCCTGCTGGCAAAATCAACCTGAATTTTGCTCCCCTTGACACTAAACCCCCTCATTTTATTCACTGCCAATTGCGCCCCCACCACTTGCTCGTAAAAAATGAGCGCCTGTCCCTTATCCCTATCGACATGCACTTTGCTGATCGAACCGAACGGCTCGAAATGTATCCTCAGGTACTTTTCATTGACGTCGACTACACCGTCGACCCACACACAATTCGTCGGCATCGACTTCCCGAAACCTAATTTAATTCGATTATTACCTAAATGTTCACCGTCCATCGCACGAATCGCTTTCACTACACTCACTATGTCCGAGTACTGACAAAACGCGTATGAACCCACAGCCCCTTGTTTCTTAATGTCAATTTCAATAATTTCGCCGAAAAGATCGAAATGTTTCCTGAGATCAGATGCGGTAACGTCCTTCTCCAGGTTACCGATGAAAAGAGTCCGCGTCGCCTTCGGGTGGAACTCGTCGATTTCGGCCTCGTACGGCCGTAGGTCGTTGTCTTCGACGTCGTAGCCTTGGTAGGGCTCCACCTCGATCTTGCACCCGAAAAACAGCTTGTCGTAGCTGACCTCCAGGGCTTTCTCCACGTCCTCCGGCTTCTTGAAGCAGACGATGGCATAGCGCTCCGAACCCTGGCCTACCACCTTCACCCAAGTCACCTTGCCGTGTTTTTTGTACTCGTGGAAAAGGCCGTCCTTCAACGACGTGTCGGACGACCGAGGGGGAAGGTTTTTCACGCGGATGGCCACAGGACGCTTCTCGCTGCTCGAACTCGTGTCCCGCGACGTTGATGAACTCGACGAACTGCTGCTGCTCCTGGATCTCGACCTGCAATTAAAAAATTGCCTAATTCTGTTGTATAATTTGATTTATGATTTAAACTGCTATGCCCATTGATTCAATGGTCAGCAGGTGTTTTTTTTTTTTTCTTATACCCTAACATGTGTACCATAAATATCCCCACATCAGTATTCTGAGAAATTGTTAATAACACTTTTCCTCCACAATATGTATATTAATTTTTTGCTATATTTGTCCGAATTTTCTATTTTAGAGCATCAACGTAAAATACTAACAGAAATAGTGTGCTATCTTAACTTGTATATACTAGTCTGTACAAGTTTCGGTATAGTTTCTACTTTACAACGTCTAAGCCACATTTGCCTTTCTTTGCGTTTAAACCAATCACAATAAAAAGACTCATAGATATACGATTATACGGGTAGATATGAAGGATAGGTGGATTATTCAAATTGAATTTAAGTTTACAATTAATCCGAACAAACAAAATATTACGTCCACAAGAGAAAAAACGGACTACTACTTCGGTTTTAAAATTAAAAATCAAGAAAATTCTTGGGTATCCGACACAACTGTGCACGTTGTGCTGTTACTCAAGAAACTGATCGAATGGTAAGAACACTGCTACAGTTTGCAGTTTCCATGATTGCGTCTGTCAATAAGAGACCATAAAACGGACTGCTACCTTGGCTACATCAAAATCTTCAGTCTAGTTATTCTAGATTACCCAGTCCGCTGTTCCAGTAGTAACATATTCCAACATTCTGAGACAAGAAAAATATTAAAAAGTGCGATAAATGTTTACAATTCGAAAAAAAAACACACCTCAGGTATAGCTCGGTTAAATAGACAACTTGGTTCGAAATGTGAATTCATGAAGAGTCCAAGCAAATCCACATAGTTTAGCATACCGCAGTCGTTAAGATGTTAAGATTCCCAATTAAAGAGAATGTTTTCTTTTGTGAAAATATTGACAATTTAATGCTTGTACTAGACTGAACACAATCCAGAACAACCGCGTTTTTTCCGATTCTTCGAAAATGCGTTTAAAAGCTTTTTCTGAACATCTAAAATATTGACCCTATTTAAAAAAATATGAGGTCTTCTTAGCAAAAGGAATCGTAGAAATTGTACATATACGGTACTTCGGTCCTCATTTAATTTCAGTGGTAATTCTGCTTAATTTACAATTTGGTTAGGCGAAGCATTGTTGTTTGATGTGTGAGTTGAACAGCTATGCAAGAAATCATCATATTCTTAAACGATGACCAGGAAGTGGGCAGCATTATTGTAGAACCAAATTAAGATATAAAATTTGAATGGACCCCTAAGCGACTTTTAGAATGTACCAGTAATGTAATACAAAATTTGAAAACTATGTATAGACACATTGTCGGTGAACTCTTTAGAGATTATTGTAAATCAAATTGTAATGGGACCCTTAAAATACACTTCTTAGATCTCCATCGAATCTGGGTGACGTTAGTGGTGAGCACGGAGAATAGTTTCATAAAGACGTCCAAGATCTTGTCGTCATTACCAAAAACAGATACTAAGGAAAGTGGTATAGCGAAATGATTGCCCATTACTACTCGGCATCATATGATGAAAAAAACATTACCGTCTTTTATTCGTTAATTAACTTCAATTTATTTATTTTTTAATATGTGCTGGAATTTGTTTTTAATTGTAACAAAAATTAGACTATAAAATACATGAATATGTAACGGAAATACAAAAGGTTAAAACATTGTGGTTCTGTGTTATCATTCACGACAATTTTGGTTGTAATAAATAAATCAAAAAAATAAAAAGAACACGTAGGATTTGCATTGCATCCAGTAAGAAACCCAATATAAATAAAGCACTAAAAAGAGGCACAGTTATAGATTAGGAAAAAGATAAAAGCCATGTTCGTGTTGCAATAACGGAAAACCAATTACGATATTTTGCGGAAAGTATATTAAATCGTCATTGCAAAAGGCGGTGGGGTAAAAAATCCAAAAAATTCAAAGTTCTATATGCACGCAATCCACAGAGGTAAAAATTTTGTTAAATTGTATTAATACACCATGCAAGAAATATTATGTTCAACCCAACTGAAAACCCAAGGATGATAAAAATTATAAAAAAGACGAATTTCCTAACTTCATTCAAGTATCAAAAGATCGTTTCAACTCTATAACGCAACAAAATGGAAAGGCCGTTTAAGATCGGATTTTATGTATATCCATGGCACCAAATAAACACACCACATTAGCTTCTTATCTACAATAAGTTCTAGTACAAAAAAAATTTTTGGAAGATGACAATATCAACCTCTGGTAGATTTTTAAACTCGCCTGAAACAGTCATAATTATGTCCAACAATTTATATGGAGGAATATTATAATACACATTCAAGTAACTGTGAGATAAGGTTGACGACTCGATATTAAACAGAACATTTCTAAAATACAAAAACAAATAAAAATGTAATTACCACTTTGAGGGTTAAAAAAACAACTATAGTACATTGATTTTCTGAAATCAAAGTCAATTTACTGTAAAAAAAAAAGTTTTATAACTCATTATGTGATCATCGCGTCCACATCCATAAATACCCGACATATTTGTTATTTTCTTCACAAGCGTAGCGCATTGAAACTCGATTTTACAAATTAAACTAAAATTTAATAATTCAACGATTTTTGTGGCAAACTATATTTCCTACCTTCCTCATAGTTTTCTATTGACAGTTATTTAACTATTATTCAGAACATTTTCATCTGATACAACCCCAGCCCAAACAAACCCACTTTTAATTTTATTTGCTGGAAAATGAGAACCAATTTTCCAAAGAGTATTTGTAAGTTAACGTTGGAATCATGGTAGAATTTAAAAAATATGTAGGTCTGGATTAATAATAATACAGAAAAAGGCATGCTGCGCATTTTATTCGAAATGTATCTAACTGCAAGTTCATTTTTTTGTAAAGAATGGAAACACAAATTTGGTTAAGACTTGAAGTTTTGTAATTTCGAAGTACATAACACGTATTTTGAGCTGTGAAACGTCAAGAAGACATGGATTACAATTTCTTTTAGTCAAGTGTCACTCGAAGATTGTACGATAAAGGGTTTAAATTTTTTGCAAATTACAACAAAACATACAGGATCACGAAAACAGGTCAAACAATAGAATGAAAACCATATTTGCACTCTATTGATCTCAGCTTAAATGAAATTAAGAAGTAGCATAGGTGAAGTAGACAAAACTTAACGTAAAAGTGGATTCGCAACAATACTTAGCTTACGCTACTGATTTATACCGCTAAAGAATTAGTAACTCGAAAGCTAGACAACTCAATGTAGGCTGCAGTTTCGACCTCCTTCGGTCTCATTAGTGCAGTACATTTTAACGGTACCAACTATATGAAGGTTTTCTGTAAGAAAGGGGTGACACCAGTGTTGGTAATCCAGATTTTGGTGGGGTTTTGTCCGGGAAGTAGCTGTTTCCAACCACTGGTTTCGTTCAATTAATAAGTGTTCAATATTTGCGACAAAAATGTAACCTACCATTTTATATCTCACTAATGTTGGTCAGCGTCCCTAAAGCTACAGCCCCACTGAAGAACTCTCATGACAGTTCTGTATGTATTAATTGACATTCCATATCCAGAGTTCTATCATTACAATTAAATGAGATATTACAGTGAAACATGTAAACGCACTTTTCGGAGGTCGCATTTCGAAACTTGTTCGTGTTGTGGGAGTAGCTCTCATGACTCAGGTAAATGCAGTTTTGCTTATCCACTTGAGAGGTGGCCCGACCACAATTGTACGGACTTATTTCGGAAATATTTATCTCAAGTGGACACGTAGCTTTAAGCATATAAGGTAAATAGTCCCGAATGCTAGACAATCACTGAAAGGTATGTACTGTACTGATGAACGCAAAGGAGGTCTAAAATAGTAACTGTAGTCTACAGCTTTTATTGCGCTGCCTAACATTCCCAGTTAGTAGTAGTTCTTTAGTGACAGCTATACTTGCCCAGAACCGCATGAGTTTATCCTTCTCTATACCATAAAAAATCAGAGCGATCACTTCCTTCACGATAACGGCAGTCTATACGTCCATTTCAACATTTCTAATGTAGAAACAGGGGTAAACGACAATATCCTACTTCAAATACACAAACAATGTATATAACGACCACAACTAATTTTAGTTGAGGTATTAAGTATTGAACTGCAAACTCGTTCAATAAGTTCAAAGATCATCATACTGAACATACCCAAAACAATGAAATAGTTCATTAAAAAAAATGGTCGAAGATTATTTCGACGCAACTCCCCTCGCCCCTGAGGTACATTTCGTCCAACAAATCCTGTTTGTTCGAAAAATTATAAAATTAGATTTTGCGAAATGTTTCTTTTTTTTGTATACAGAAAAAACAATATTGATAATACTAGTCACAGTGTAATATAAAAAAAAAAAGGGTCATGTTGGGGATTGACTTGGCGCCACGGAGCTCCTTGGCCGGGTGTGGCTCGTAAAACGTGTGATTTTTTTTTACGAAAATTTAGATGACTAGGGGAAAACTCCAAACATTTATACACCACAAGTGTGGGAGTATATTATTGCATAACATTTAAATAATTTTAATACAGACACATTTGATATGACGTCATCAAATTATTGATGCGGATGATTATTAAAATTTTGGTTAGTTTTACCATCTACATGATATTCCTAATATACATACAAAATTTAACACAAATGACAGATAAATGGAAACGAGAGGCCACTTTTCTTGTACTCTGGGACTCATGAAACGTAGAGAAAATTAGAAACTAGCTAGTCGTCCGATGACCCTATTCCAATACTTCCTTCGTTTACGATCGGGAAGTAGAAAACAGCTAATTTTTTCTAATATTTAGCAAATAGTACGAATTTTCCCAATTTTCTTTATGAAGTGTTAAATCAACACAAAAAAAGTACTAAGATTTTCTCATTTAACCTACCTAGTATCTTCTACTATTTCCAATATTGCACCAAGAAGAACAACACTGCACATTCCAATGCATGAATTTAATACTTAAACCCGTGGTCACTCTTCCTTTACGTAACACATAAAAGCACTAAGGAAACTATCTTTTTTATGTATAGATATGTGACAACGTAAATGGTAGTACGAAATACCAAGGTATTATCATACACGTGTATTGCAAACACGACGAATACTGATAGTGAACGTATTTGAATCGTCTGAATCATAAGTTCTATGATCATTATCAGTTCTGGAGTATTTTATATAAAATTTTATCAACAAGATAGAATATATAGCTGTTTTATTTCAGGAATACTTGTAGTTAAAAAAAAGTACCACACGGTTAACCAAATTTTCGATCTAGTTCAAGCGTCGTGTTTAGTGCTACCTTATCGAAAGAAATTATAACGGAATTGTCAAATTACACTTGCGTATTGGTAATGTGGTCTACTGTAAACGCTATTGGAACAATAAGTTAGAAATATTGATTTGACTTTAAAGACACACGGTGAAATAACTACGTAATTTCATTACGGGTTTACAGTTTTATTCTGTTTAAAAAAGAAAAACATTTTCAAAAAATCAATGCGCTTTTAGAAGTTTAGAAAGCAAGTGTAAAGAATTTGCAAAATGGGTGTTCCAATCATGATAGCTTATCAATGATTGGAACATCCACTACATTTCTAGACACATAAAGTAACATCAATACAATGTTTATAGAGTTGGATTGCTTAATTTTTGTGGGTGGGTAATTTCCGGTATGTATAAAATAGGATAGGTAATAATAAATCTCATGCATCATCCTTTCAAAGACTACAAAACTTGAATAAAAAATTGCAAATTTAAACTGAGAAATCAGGTTTTTCCATCTACCCACGCCCCAGTGTTCGTTTTCACAAAAAGCAGCCTTACGAATACCGATGATGAGATGATGTTGTTTTCCTCTTAACGCTTGAACGGTGGTTTAAAACTTACGAAAATTGGGACTGTAACAAGCTTGAGCATACAATTGTTGCTGCAATCACGAATTTACCAGAACTAATTAACGATCGTTGAAGGCAATGAATCATTCAAAGCAGGTGTTTTATCGCAAAAACAGTAGCAAGGATATTTAAAAATTATCGGTTCGTGACTTTAAAGCCAAGTAATTCCAGAGTAGCAAGTTTATACACACAGTTGCATCTGCAAATGCTAATAACACCAAAAATCAAATTAAAACTACAATAATGATTGAGTTGATTAAGGTACAACCTATTGTTAAACCGGTAGTCTCATATTACAAATTTATATCCTCAACTTGCAATATTAACTTGTCTAAAATAAATTTTGAACGTGTTTTGTTGAGAGTACTTTTAGATTAAAAGAAATTACAACACATGTATTATACATACTTAACCACATCTTGTTCTGGTTTAGGCAGTGGCGGCTCGTGACTGTCTGATGTGGTGAGGCGATGATAGAAATTTGACAATAACATTAATTATAATATTAATAATCAAATTAATTAAATTAATGTGACTAATGCATATCACTTGGTCTTACTAATTAGTAATGATAGAAGTCTTTTTTTTCGGGTCAGTGGTAGGTCCTAATAATAATAATAATAATAATAATAACACCCATAACACATTTAATCAGCAATGTTTTTACAAGTCAAAATTTTGTTCAAACTAGGACTTTCTTGGAGGGATTCGGGAATAGTTGTTGTGTTCCTTTGTAAAGGTTTTAGGCCCATGAAATTTTTAATGTGTACTTTGGAACTTTCATGTAACTTTGCACTTCGGATGAAATTATTTAAATCGTTATATCCCGGGACGTCAAATATTACGGCAGAGCCATTTATATGTTTCGTACCAAGTTGATTTAAAAGACTTGGAGTACTGACGATTCTGTCGCTTATCAATGGAAGTTACATGAATTAACGGTTTTGACTGCTCGATATTTAGCAAAATTTGCCGACGTTCTAGCTCGGTTCGCCGTGAAAACGACGAAGGAACATGACGATATTGGTACTCGGGATTCATTTTTTACTCACCTGTAACTATGAAAGAGACAAAAGCACGAAACATCAACACGCGGGCTTTTACTCACGTTCATGCTAATTACCCACGCACCCCGCAATGCCCGCAACCCTTCCGTTCTGTAAAATAAATGGGAAAATGGTTTAATAAGTACTCCGAAAATAGCCGAGAAGCACCGAAGATATCGCCTCAGTTCCGTGCGAACGCATGTATAGGAGTATAGGACCTGAGCCATGGAAATCCGTGTCTGTGATTGGGCTTCGCTGGTTCAAGTGAACCGACGTTCTGGCCGCTTCAGTTAAAGAACTAGGAGCATAAATCGTACGGTATTCAACCGAAATTGTCAGCAGAAAGCGTAAAAAATAAAAAATCATCTACAGATTTGCCATTTCAACATATTTTTGTAACTGAAAATGCATTGAAAGCTCATTTTTAATTACAAATTAACTCAATCTGTTCTTAAGATATATGCTGTGAGGCGCCACCTCACTTGCCTCATCTGACGAGCCGCCACTGGGTTTAGGAAAAAGTAATTTTAACTTGTTGAGTTGGTGTTAAGGTATTATTTAATATTCTGTGTAATGTGTTCAGAAAAACAATAAAAGAGACTGATTGAACAGTGAAGCACAAGTAGTTTAGCATCTCATTTTTCAGTAAAGTATTTCATAATTTCTCGAGACGATGTAATAAATTTATTTGAGGCGGAGTCTACCAACGTATTAAACGGTGTCATTATGTTTAAATATGATTATAGTAACACCTGAACGACTTGTCTACTAAAGGACTACATTATTTTAGAAATATGATTCTATTACATAACTAACTGCAACTTGTGGTCAATTTAAGAAAACTCACCTGGAGGGTGACCTGCTGGATGTGCTGCCCGATGGCGAAGGCGACCTACTTCCGGATCTTGATTTCGCTTTTTTCTTTGTACTTTGGTCGGACGACCGCCTCTCGTTGCTATCCGAAGGTGTCGATACATACCCTGTTTCGTTTTGACTATTGTACCTTGTAGAGTCGTATGACCAAGAATTATTGAGAGTCCTATGAGATCGATCCATGATCGCATTGTAGGGGCCATTTCTGTAACTTCGTTCCCTATTACGTCCCCTACAATTATCATGGTAGTTCGTTCGACGGATAAATTCACCTTCGGTTACCCTGTTGTTGGGTCTTTCGTAGAAGCGGTCGCCGAAATTCGCATGTTCTTCTGTCGACCTAAGAGAAAACAACAACATTAATAACACTGAAAACGACATTTTCTAAAACCTGCGACTTGCAAGTACCGAAATGAAACTGCAATGTGGGCCGCTTCGTTATTACTTCCAGTTCTGCCTTTTTTGTTTATGCATAAATAAAAAATGTAAAACAAGTCGTTCATTTCGGTGATCTGGTATGGTAGTCGTAAAAATGCCAAACTATCCCTAATGGAATCTGAAATAATGAGACAAATCATCTAAATAATTTTTCATCTGTAAAAATGCAGACAAGAACTCGGTATTATTTTCTTATTAAAATACATTCTTGAAACACGTATAAAATATCAGATAATTACTTTTTAAACAGAGCCAAGATGTTAAATTAGCAGTCGTTCTGCATGTCGGTAGCCACATTTACACAAGAAAAACGCCTCTTTCGATGCTAAAAAACTCAATCAACTAAAGGCAAGTGCATCTATGGTATGATCTTGAGTTTATGAACTTATTTGTAGTGAGTGATCGATCAGTAAAACAAACGCTACTGCTGTTTTCACAATAAACATTTTAAACGCAATATAAGACGGTAATTTAGCTGGGTGAGAACGATTACTTCTTAGATTTAGAATCATTGAATATTATTTCGTTCAACCAACGGATGCATATACGTTATTATTCAATTTTTTCCTGGGACTCACTCTCATTGTTGAATAGCGTGACGCCAAAATGAAAATAACTCGAAAAAATACTTCGCCCTATTTATACACATATTTATTTAGTCGAAGTGTAAATATTTGATATTTTTGGCACAGTTTATCAAACTGCGGCATTCCCCACAAGTTTCCACATCCCCACGTCATACATAATAAAATATTTATCATTTCAACTTACACTACGATAAAATTTGTAATCAGTGCGTGAACCACATATAGTAAAATTTTGATGCAGAATAATATGAACTACCATCAATTTTATCATTTATTTAAGCATTCAAGCTACGCAAGAAAGTGACACTGTGACAATAATAAATGTGCAAAGTTTTAAGTTGCCCAACTTGGGATTAAAGCCTGAGTGCTAACTTCAGTAGGAAAGCACTTAACAGGATTCATGCGATTGTTAAGAAAGATGAATGTACCCTAAGAATGTTAAATTTTGGTCAGTAATAAATTGTATAAGCACTAATAACACATGTGTATTCATGGTATAGAACTTATTGCATTATGTCTATACAGTATTTTATTCTAACAGTTATATTTTGGACTAAATGGAACGTAAAAGTGATTATATTAGGTTATTAAGGATAAAATCGCTTATCAATACAGGACAACTAAGAAGAAGGGGTTACTGTCGTTTGTCAATTTTCTATAAATTAAACTATACTTATTAGACGCAATAATATAAATTTAAAAACTAAAAATAAAAATAAAATGAACAGATCAAAATTAGCTTAATCCAAAAACGAAGCCTTCTGAAATTTTGCTTTTGTTTGGAAACTGTTGATTTTCTTATCACGCATCGTTTTTAAATAATAAATGAAGAAATGTGTTCTTTATTTCTAAATGTTATAGTTTACAAACAGACTAACCGAAGGATTGTGTTGTGACACAAAGAATATCAATTAACACGTTGTTAATTTTTACGGGGATAAATTCTATGCAGCATTTAACAAGTAAAATGTTCCAACAATAATTAAGTTTTTGTTAATAACAATAAATGCTCACCTGTGTATATTTCCTGTCTTACATTAACATCACCAACGCTTTGATCATTCAAAAACAAACGACATGTGTTCGCGAATGTTAAATCTATCAAAGAATACACATTACGAAATATGATATTCGCTGATTATAATGGAAGATTTTAATGATGGACGACAAGAATAACGAATAACTTACATTAAAAGGTATATTAGTAAATAATACCGTGTTTTTTTGTGGGATAGATTAACCTTGTGAGAAAAAACTTCTGATTTGTTAAACTGATAAGTTTTTTAATCTACACCGTTAATTTATTTTTCATGCCGGTTTGCCACCACTACATTGTTATAAATGCACCAAAGTAGTAATTATATAATTTTTTACCCAATTAATATATGGACAATAATAATTTCAGATAATTGCGATTATAAAAATAATAATAACGCCACCGTATCTATACAGCTTTGTAGCGTTCATCGTCCGTCAAAAATTCGTATTCTAATTAAGTTCAATTACAACTTATTTTTCGGATAATTTTGTTCTTACAGATATAATTACTTAATTAGATATCCCACCAAAAAATTGTATATTGCTATAAAAGCCTGTGAAAATTCGAATAAAGCATTCCATTCACAATGACGACCAAAACGTTACTCGTTTGTGCTGTAACCTTTTTAGCTCTATGCCTGGTAAGATATTTAAAAAATATATTAGACCTAAATTTGCACTGTTAATTTTTTTTTATATTTCAGTCGCATACTAATGCAACGCCTCAATCTTCTTCCGGAACCGGACAGGCAGGAGGAGGAGGACAGGGAGAAGCTGGTGCGGGTGGTAATTTTGGCGCCGGCGGTGGATTTAACGTTGGAGGAGGGTTCGGCGGAGGATTCGGAGGAAAAGCTGGTGGTGGTGCTGCTGGTGGTGCCGATGGTGGTGCTAAAGGAGGCGGCGGTCAACGCTAGGATAATAGAATCTACTTCTTGTATCATTAATGGCTGGCAATAAATCAGGAATAAAATGTGTAAGATAAGCACTTTGGTCTATCTTATTGCAAGTGTTGATAAAAATATCCTCACTGAAGACGATTGCCAAAAATCTGTAAATTTGAAATACAAACAATTGTTTTTCAATTTACAAGTAAGTACGAATTATTATAATCTTCCATTATTCAATCATACTTTCTTCAGTTCAAAGGGTTTTTGAATAACTTGAGTGACCACAATTTTCAGAGAAATTAATTCATAGTTTTACATTTAGTAATTGACCATTTGACTTGTTACTATTAAAGCAGGCACTTTTTTGCTAGGCATATTATTTAATTTCAAAAATTTATTATGCAAAAATTAGAATTCCAACATTTTCCGATCAAAAAAAAAATATTTTTTTTTAAATGTAAATACGAAAATTTTTCTTTAACAACTCTCGGAACTCGGTAGTCTGCAGTTACGTTAAGTGAATATTGCTGGAAACAATATCACTTCACTATTCAGTTATTAATAAACTATCTTAGTCATTATTCTAACAACATTTCTAAAATTACAGCTTTTATTGGAAATGATTTTTAAACTTGAATTTATTACAAAATTTTGATACTTGATTATGACTATCACTGTAGTCAGAAGATAATTAATTAAAAAAAGTTAAAACTACAAAACGGAAGTTGTTTTCACTTTAAGTGAAACCAAGTCCTAGATCAGTTTTATTGCGTCCCTAAATATATTTTATTTTATAGTTCGTTATGAATGAGTATGACACTACACTGATAAAACACAAAAGCAGTTGGCAAAAATTTTAATATTTAAAATTTTACACAATTGTACCAGGATAACACTTCCACTTTTTTATGAATGTGAATCTCGAAAAACGTGTATGTGATCCATACAAAAAAGTCTCTATTTGATTAAGTTTACCGGTACTGTAATACTCGCCACGCATGTGCTTAGTTTCCAGACACTAGTAAAAAAAAAATGTAGATGTAAATAAGCCAACAAATTGCATCTACAAATTCATTATTACTCCTAGTATCTAAGAATAAACATGAAGTTTAATACGCCGTTTATTTGGTAACTACATATGTAACTACGAAACACACGTGCGTATTGAAATAAAGCATTTTCAGCTTACATGACTCTTACTAAAACCAGGGTTAGTAAACCAACAAATGTGCTACCAAAGTATAAACATGCAACTGTGTGTAATATTTTTAATAAGAAAAATATACTAAATGACATTAGAAATGCAACACCGAGAAATAATTAATTAAGCTAATTTTACTGTCATTTATTAGTCTCAACTTAGTGAAATTGAAATTTCAACTATAAGAAACAACACAACAAAGGAAACGTCTAACCATCGATTCCATTACTTGCTTTTAGGGTAGTTCATCACTACTTGAATTTGTCACTGTAGCGGAGCTAAATATCTGGGAGGATTTTGTAATGTAGATAGTCTCCTGCCCATCATATTCCATATGTGTTCGATGGAATTTAAATCTGGAAATCTGGAGTGCCAGAGCAAAACATTTGAAACAGTTCGAGATAAAAGACAGAAATTTTTATTAGAGCATACTTTATGAACATGAGACTTTTACAACAAATATTGTTGAACACAAATCGTTATTTCTTGGAATTGCATTTCTAATGCCATTTAGAATAATATATTCCTAAGACAAAAATTTAAAAATTCCAAACTTAATCGAACAAACTATTCATTTTGCGGAGAAAGCAAAGGACGTTATGATCATTTAACTGGTGGGAGTAAAAAAAAACATATCAACTACTACATGAAATGAATCTTTAATTATGTTTACCACAATGTTAAATTATGGTCGAGTTCAAAATTATTAAACATGTGACACAGTACCAAAAAAAAAGTGCAGTTTTACATCGCCTGACGCTTATTAGCAAACAGTTCCTAGAATCATATGAGTGGTACACATTTAAAGCAATTCTGCGTCGGTTCCGTTATTAGCTGAGAGCAATATTTTTTATTTATCTAGACAGTGAACTTACATGATGTATACAATTTTATAAAATCATCCAATTGTTTATTCCTACTCATGTAAAATGAAACTCTTTGTTTTAATGATTTGTACTTTACACTGATGAAAGTTGATAAAATTTCATATGTATAATAAAATTAAACATACCCACACACCACGAGCGCAAACATGATAAACAACAGGGGTTTCTTTCAAAATGTCATATATGATCAAGGAATAATAATATTACCACAATCACATAAAATTTATAATTTATTTACGTATGTCACACTATTTTACCAAAAACATTGCACGATGCAAGGTTAGTAAGAGGAGTATCTCCGCCATAAATAATGTAAAGGTGTATTTAAATTTTCTGGTTTCTTTTTTCTCGTATCAGTTACTCACTTCTAAAGGATTGTTAATGAATTATCATGAGTATTTCCTGAAGGTGGAGCTGAAATTTAAGGTAAGTTTCCAAAATTGATACAATGGTTGGTAGTGACGTTTCTCATTTACCAACCAACACTCATTACGCAAGAGCGAATGCACCAAATGCTGTCCACATTAAAGTGCAATTTTAATGAACATCGATGAAATATGGTTTCCTTTTTCAGAGCTTAATGATTCGTGAAAGTGAACAAATACACCAACAAGTACAGTTTCGGTTTTGTATAATTTAAGGTTTCCTGTTTTTAATCGTTAAATTTTCGCTTAGTTACATAAGTTGTTTCGTGATGTAATAAGGAGCAGGTAAACATGAAAACCCAATAGGAAAAGTTATTACAATGCAATCGTGATAACCTCGGTGTTGAAAGGGCACCGACGATGAATGTGCTTGTTTTAGAGAAATTTTGTAATATACACGAAAGGGCGACATTGCAACGTGCCATGTCTAATTTATTCATCGTGAACAACAAGTGTATTTCTGCTGAGCAAAAATGGCAAAGACAATTAGCATATCACGTTAGCGTTTCTTAAAAGTCGATCGGTTGGTTAACTGTTAGACTTAACGGTTTTATTAAAACAAACAATAAAAAGAACACGACCTGTATGTTAAGATTTATCACACAGCGCCATATCCAGAGAGTAAGGTCACCGTCATCGTCTGTAGCGGAGACTGTTACCAACATGACCTAAGTAGGCGCATTAACTAAATGTGAAATTGCGGAAAACCTTGGAAAACAAAACTGGTGTCATAACTAATTTACCAAGTGTCACCTACTGGTAGATTAACTACGGTTAACCATATGGCTGAGTTTTGAATTTTTTTACACAACATTTTTGCAATCTATTCAAATTTGCATGGCTAATGAAGCTGACGAAACATAGTTTCAATAATGCGCTTCCATATGAATATCTAAACAAATGACCAAAAATAACAGATGCGACGTTACTCACGTCAATGAACTCAAAACAGCAATTATTTCTTATCCGTGCTTGACCTGTCGATCAATTCAAACTTCAAACGGTAAATAAAATTTAAATATTATTTCTGAGGTTCGTACATAAATGGTTACTTGTACGTATACCACTAAGAAGTCTTGTTCGAACAATGTTCCAACAATTCGCAATATAAAAACAATTTCGTTACTACGGTCAAGAGCAGAAGTTCCATTTTAAACTAGTATTTTTACATCGCCCGTTCTTAATATGCTAAATAAGATGCGTCGATTCTTCTTTAATATTTTGCTTCATAATCCTACTAATTTTTTTCTCTACTCTAAGTATCTACGATTCTTCTTTCTCGTCCATCAATGTTGTTTTGTTGTTGATCACTTAGCTGATTTTAAGGCTGTTAACCTCAACTCCACGATCTAGTTTAAAAACTAGTTTTAAATAATTTCAATTTGTTACTGTTAATCGAAACAAGAAGGCAGAAACTTCTTTTAAAAATAGAACATAAATCGCGCTGGAGCGTCACTGCATTTTCTCTCCCTTTTTCTTCCGTTATCTCGAAAAACATGGAATTCGTGGCAGACGGTAATATGTAGGAAATAAAACCGCACACTGCACTAATATCTACACATAAGAAATAATAGATAACCAATTCCACAACTCACTACAAAGTTTACAATAACAAACAAGTGCTTGGATTATTCTGTCACAAATATTTGGTTTCTTTAAATATCAAAACCGGATAGAACACGACTGATGAAACAAATTTTGGGCTTCCTCAGTTTGACTGCCCCACGAAGAGATTTGCCATTTATTTTAAATAGAAAACTATTTAATATTCGGAAAGAAACACAACGTATTAGTTTAAATGTGTTTGTTTACTTGGTGTCAAATTTTTAACCACTTAATTAACAAGGTGTTCTACAAAGATCATGTTGTCCAGGTCTTTGAGCAGTGGACTTGTTTTTAAATATATTTTACCTGCTCTGATCGGTCTGTTCTGAGGCTTTACTTTTTTTTTAATTCGACTATTTGACTATTTGAAAACGAATTTTTTTAGAATTTTTTACGAACACTCAAATTTATTGTCACTATAAAAAAAGTATGCCTTTCGTTATTTATCCACAAAATTTTGCAATACAAATGTTAACAAACAACTAACGAGCGTTCAAATAGAAACAACGTCAAGCTGGCTTTGTAAATTTGAATTTAGGGCTTAGTAAATGATTCGTTTACATTTCCAAAGCCAATTTGACGTCGTTTTTAATTGAACGCTCGTTATATTGCTATTTTTTTTTAAATACATAAATATGCTTGTAAAACCTTGAAAGAAGTTAATCAGAATATGTAAAATTACGTACACAGTTCAAAATAATTTTAGATCATGCAATTCAAAAAGCCGCACAATCTTGGTCGGCAATTTTTTGAACCCTAATTATGAGGCATTGGGGAGGGTGCGCTTTTGACTCACCTATATAATGAAAACTTTTTTTTAAGACATGACATATTTTTGATCTGTCAGTCACACCAATTATTTTTTTGGATTTGTAGCTACTACCTACAATATCTCGTGTCTTAATCCATATGAGATACAATACAAACGTGTTGCACACGATAGAAAACATGAAACCGGTTAAATATTTTGCATACAATATATTATGACTCCTTGACATTTTATGAGTTTAAAAGA